CATTGTACAGTGGCATTAAGTGCCGTAATGTGCACCTCTGCCTACCCCTTCGGGGATAAAAGGCGTGATGTTATGTTATGTTATGTTATGTAGCCGTTTGTTGGTGGTATGTAAAATATAAAGCTGAGCAACTGCAGAGTTCTGTAATCACATTAAAATCTCTGGTTGGGTCGAGTTGGGTAATATTATTACGTTTTGAAAATTCTTAGTAGTGGCATTATGATACTTCTGGTGTTGCAGATAATATGTTATAGTTTTATGTCAAGAGGTATGTAATTCAGTTAGTTGCGTCATTTGTTTGAAACTATTTGATGCAAGTTATAGTTCATTTACCTGGCCTGTAAGCGAACCGCCAATTTCTTCTTGTTTAGCTTTTTCTGAAACATAATAATCACATATTTTAAATTTTCGTGGATACAACATGATTTAAGTGTGGGAGACCCATGCTTCAGCACGAATGGGCCGGTCCGACCGGAGTGATACCACGGCCTCACAGAAAACCGACGTGAAGTAACGCTTGCGTTGTGTTTCGTCGTGTGACTGAGGTTATCGGAGGCCCAATTACCCCCCCCCCCCTTTCCCCACCAATCCTTGAATTCCAACAATCCTCAAATTCCTAATCCCAAATGGCCGGTAACGCACTTGTAACGCCTCTGGAGTTCCAGGTGTCATTGGACGACGCCGATTGCTTACCATCAGGTGATCGGTCAGCTCGTTTATCTCGGCATATCCCATAAAAAATATTACAAGAAAAAAATCAATACGAAAAAATAAAAAATATATTTATTCCAACTTACCATCCACTGGTAAGACAGAGAATGCTTTGGTAGCTAGACCGAAGTCCCCAATCTTGACATGGTCGTTGGAGTCCAAGAATATGTTGACCGGCTTCAGATCTCTATGGATCATACCTCTTTGGTGGACATGGGCTAGACCTTCTACTATCTCCCTGGAAAATATAGAAGAGTATATCATTTATTATTGAAGCTTAACTGAGGATATTTTTTGTGGTTTTTCAGGATCATGGTGATGGTTTTATGCCAAAGGACAGAAAATGTGCCCGGTATATGGCAATAGGGTCACCCCCTATTACATGGGCCTCATAACATAAATAGTGAAAAGTGGGTGTTACATTGAACAGTGGCATTAAGTGCCGTAATATGCGCCTCTGCCTACCCCTTCGGGGATAAAAGGCGTGATGTTATGTTATGTGGAACTTTACTCTCTTTTCCCTAAAATAGTAAGGGTGGTGACATATTTTTACAAAGCAAACATCAATTATTATATAGCAAAAGACACCTTACCTAAACAACCTCCACGCTCGAAAATGCTCCTGATATAGTCCACTATCGATGGCCTGCCGTAGAGTATGTTTCTCACAGAACTCCATCTGTATATACAGCACTTGTTTCATACGCTCTGACGGCGGCCGCGGCGCGTCCACCACGTCCTCAGATTCTATAGTCTGTGACGGATTTGATTCTTCCTCAAATTCCACCCCACTACTTGATTCGTCATCTGGCCTGGAATTTATTGGATTTTGATTAGTATGTTTAAGGATTGAGGGTTGAGTTTGGTTTGGATTGTAGGCTAGTAATATAACAACTAGAAGAGTGTGTAATTCAGATTCTTAAATTTAATTTTAACGACTTAATAATGGCGTGTTGAATATTAAAAGGACAATTTATAAAGCTAAAGAGTTTGTTTTTTTGTGTGTTTTAACGCGCTAATCTCAGAAACTACTGATTCGAATTGAATAATTCTTTTTGTGTTGGATAGTCCATTTATTGAGGAAGGTTAAAGGCTATAAAATATCACGCTACGACCAATAGGAGCTGAGCAGAGAGTGTGAAACCGCGCGGAAGTAGCTAGTGACTTAATAAAGGTGCGTTGAATATAAAAAAGGACAATAATTAATCGGCCAATTTTAAGTTTCTAATATAAGAAGGGAGAAACTTATAGACTGGGCATAATATTTCTATTTATTCAGTTGCTAAAGACCGCTGATGCGGTAATAGTTTCTAAAACTTTTACGAAACGTTAAAAACTAATTATTATCAAATTTTTTTTTTCCAAAAAATAATTTGATACCATAATATGTAAATTATAAAGCTTATTCACATTACACTTACTCGTCAAATGCGTGACAACTCATATTAGATACGAAATCAAAAACAATTTATAATATATCACTAAAATACTAAAAACCACACCGATGTATATTACAAGTACGTGTAAGAATTGTTCTACAAATTGTAGACAACTCAATAATCTCACTTTACTAAAACTACACTGATTTTACTGTACGTGTATAAAATCGTATTTTCAAGAGCGAGAGCGCTCTCCGATGGTTCGAAACACAACCTCACGGTACCAAACCTGAGCAAGGACTGACCGACCCATCACCTTTCTTCACACTTCAAATCTTTCAAAAACAATGTACCTTTATTTTCGAAGCTTACAATAAACAGATAATTGATTTAGAACTCTTAACTGACTAGAGATAAGGATCCTTTCCGTTTGACGCCATTATTTACAAACAAAAGGTTTCTCTTTTGTTTTGGTGTTTATGAGACATGGTATTTTTGTCAAAGAAAAAGGGCATTTATTATGTTAAGGGATAAGCTTCTATTAGCACGCGGTTCACTGAATAGCATTGTTTTATTTATTTGTGTGTATTCTACAATTACTGTATGTGATAGAAGTTAAGAAATATGGTATTTTTTCAATAGTGACCTACTTTAGATACTTTTATTCATACATTTAAACTCAAGTAACGCGTGTTATATTTCTTAAAGATATCAAGATATCCTGTTATTTTATATACGTACTTTTTAACAATTATATTGGAAATCAACAATTATTTAAAGTATTAGTGGGTTTACAAAAAAAAAAATCACGGTAGCAGCACGGAGTCTAGAAATGTGCCCGGTATATGGCAAAAGGCTCACCCCTTATTACATAGGACTCACAACATGAATAGTGAAAAATGAATGGTACATTATACAGTGGCATTAAACTGTCAAACACCAAGCGGTCACCGGTGACCGCAACCTATTGTTCTATAATTGTGTCTACAAAACCGGTACTCGACGAGTTAAGTGCCGTAATGTGCACCTCTGCCTACCCCTTTGGGGATAAAAGGCATGATGTTATGCATGTATTTAAATTCTCAGTGCAGATATAAAGTTTAGAAAATTACTTCATACCGAGAGGGAAAGACATTTTTAAACCTAGTAATAACTATATAAACTAAAATCACGCGTTACTCACGTAAATATACTGAGAAAAGCTGTACTAGGAAGAGTCCCTCTGTGACTTGAAACTACTAGAGCTTTTATCAATTCACGATTACCTCGACTCACGATGATAGGTATTATAAAAACCTAGTAATACATTATAATATTAACTCGTCGAGTACCGTCAATACAGACACAATTATAGAACAATAGGTTGCGGTCACCGGTGACCGCTTGGTGTTTGACAGTTTAATTCAAGTATTATAATAAAAGGGAGAGGAACCAATGGTAGTTAGAGTCCCAACTACCCACACCACGATACAAAATCACATCTCACCTCATAATATTGAACCAGGGATCCCGTTCATCATCATCATCATCTTCTTCATCCTCGCTGTCTGATGATGTGTTCGTGTTCTGTACAGGAATCTCTGACATTGACCATTCCACCTTCACATCTTGGCCTAGTTTTGCTACAACGCCTGGAAAGTTAGGTACAAAAAACTAGTATTGCGCAAAACTCTGGTGTTAGCGCAAAGACTTTGCGCATGTTACAATTGTAATCAAAATGATTGCGCTTAAGACTAATACATTCCATATCACTATCAAGCTTTTAAGTCATAATGCGTTTTATATTGATATGTGATTGTTAAGTGACTATGAGGTAACTTTTCCTACCTAAACTCCGACTTAGGGTAAGACCTGTATTTAAAAAAGTTACATTTTAATACAAAACAAAAGAGACAATATATTATACAAGAACAGATGATTGTTATATTTAATAACAATAACATTAGAACGAAAGAGACATAGTAACAAGCTCGTCAGCTGCTGATTCGACAGTGGCGTTTTTGTTAAAAACATTAATAATTTCATTTGAATATTAATAAAAAAACATAACTTTAAATCTCGTTTTATTTATTTTTTGTCTTTCTTTAAAACGTTGTCCCACATTAGTATTTTCTTCTGTCTCATTAGTGCGTTTACAAACATACAATTTCACATACACATGCCACCCAGACCCGGAACAACAATCTGTGGATCACACAAAGTTGTTCCGTGCGGGAATCGGGCCTGCGATACGTTGTGTGGCAGCCCGTTGCTTAGCCACCGCGCCAAACGTGCAAGTCTATCTTAGAATCATAAAAATAAACAATAATTAATACAAACTCACCTTGCAAACTATCAACTCGCTTTTTAACATCTTCTATCTCTATCTCTTCACTTATATCATCTTCTTCTACTTCAATACTGGTTTCGATCCACGCGTTGAAATATCTTACGACATTCTCATGGTTAAGTCTAGATAATAGCTTTACTTCTCTTGTTATCTTCCTGTTTAACTGGACGCTCTCAGGGTTAAGTTTAATGCGTTTGATCGCGTAGAAACCGCCGTCGAGTTTGTTTTTAACCTGTAAGTGACTGTTTGTATTTGAAAATTGATTGGTGTAGGTATTTTGGCTACAGTTTATGCTACAGATATAGATCTATACAGATTGAGATTGTAGAAAACAACGAAATGCCTCTCTATAGATGTACTATTAACTCATTGACAATGAAGACGACGTTAGTGAATTAATGTTTACAGTGTTTTTATTTAATCGTGTAGAGGTATAAAAATGCTCGTTGGCCGAGTGGTCGTAAGTGCGACTGCTGCGCAAGGGGTCTCGGGTTCGATTCCCGGGTCGGGCAAAGTATTACTGAGTTTTTAAATATTCTCAGTAGTAGCTTGGAGTCTGGAATTGTGCCTGGTATATGGCAATAGCCTCACCCCCTATTACATGGGACTCATAACATAAATAGTGAAAAGTGCTTGTTACATTGTACAGAGGTATAATGTGCACCTCTGTCTACCCCTTCGGGGATAAAAGGCGTGATATTATGTGTATAAAAATATCTGACATACACTTATTTGTGCTTTACTGAATCGGTTTGGATGTCCCGTCACTAAATTGCAGCTGTGACGTCACAGTAGGTATTAAAAAGTCGGCACGCTTGGTTTCAATACAAATCGTAATAATTGCGTTATCTATGTAGATCTAGAGGTATGTCTGTGGTTTATGCGAACGACGTGAAAGATTGCATTATTAATGCGCTACTGCACAAAAAGATTATTAAGCCTTCAATTGGGGAAGTGCTTGGATTGGGGATGTCGAGCGGGGGCGCAATGCTCAAATCTCTAACACCGAAAGGGGATGCAATGCAATTGTAAGGTACTCATCTACCTCTATATATATAAAAATGAAACCAGTTTCCCGTTGTCACGCCATAACTTGAGAACGGCTAGACCGATTTGGCTGATTTTTTTTGTTGTATTTATTAATGTCAGGAGAAGGTTCTTATGACAGAATAAAGTCCTGAAAATCTTACAAGAACGGGAGAAAACGGGATTGCGCGTACGAAGGGGAGCGGCAGAACCTAGTTTCCCATAAAAAAACTGTTCAATGTAGAAATATTCTTCGTTAAAGATCAACCAACGCCATACTACTATTAAAATCCATATTTTATTAGAGTTGTACCATAGCTCGATAGATGGCGTTGGCGGAATTAAACTGTCAAACACCAAGCGGTCACCGGTGAGCGCAACCTATTGTTCTTTAATTGTGTCTATAATGACGGTACTCAACTTCGATCAACAATAACAACTAGATAAAGGGTTACGTACAAAATCAAGCTCCAGTTCTGTCCGTGTGAATAATAATAGTAAAAAAATAACAAACAGAGAAAAATGTATTAAAATAGTTTTAAGTTCAACCTAATAACAACCATGGTACCTAATAATATAGTCATAAATCGTCAAAATATTATCTAATACTTACGACCATTCGTCACATAAGACAAGAAAAGTATTTTCTTACTCCTGTCATGTAGAAATTAAAAGACAAAGTTATACAATATTTAGTTTGAATTCAACCTTAAGCTCGAACAAATAAAGATAATTTTTCCATTATTGTCTTGCGATTTATATCGTTTTGTTTTGTTACGTTTTGCTTCTTCAAATTTCGAATTTCGCTACAGGAGGTATGTATGGAGTCGCGTTGGACACTAAAATAATTTTATAATATGAAAATTAAGATTTCGGGATCTTAGTATACATCAATAATTTTTATTAGCGGTATACGTTTTTGTGTATGATATGTTTATTTACTTTATCATTAAAAGTTTAAGTCTAAGTCGAAATCATTTATTTCAGTTAGACCAGGAAGGCACTTTTGAACGTCAACAATATAAATTTAAAAGTGAAGCTATTTGCTCATTCCAAGGTGTAGATTCCTATTGAGAAGAACGAGCAAGAAACAATACAATTTTATTTTTCAATACAAATCGACTCGATGCGTCCACTGTTCTGTTTAAACAAATGTTGGCGAGGCTTGGCCAAGGAATCGCCAACACACGCACAAACATTGGTGGCGTTGGTTTATAATTGATAATTTTGTCTAATTTGATATTATTTACTAGTTTAAAAACTTAAAATATAACTTATACTTTATGTATTTATCAAAAGTAAGACACTCCGGCCGTTATACTGCTTTTTCGGTTGTTATTTTTGCAACTTGCAATTATGCACTGCGGCATCGTGAGACGTGAGTACGTTGGCCGTGTTTGGAGCATACTAAACAAAATAAGAGCTCACTTCTCAAGTGAGCTCTTATTTGTCGAGACGATTTTCTTGCGCTGACCCGATATCTAGTTGTTATTGTTGATCGAAGGTACTCAACGAGCATTCAAGCTATGGTTTCGTTACCGGCAAAACTTTAGGTCGATTTATTTGACGTAAATAAATTGTCTCTCTTTGAGGTACTTCGTATCATCTCAAGTACCAGGCTTTAAAGGACTTTGAGCCGATAATGTTCAGAATTATTGACAAATACTAAAATAATAATGAAGATCAGAGTCTCTTGAAATTAAACTCAACAGCAGTAAGTATACATAAAGTTCTACAAAAAATATGTTCGCATGTACCTTTAGTACGTCACCGAACGCACCGCTGCCTAGCCACGTAAGGACTTCAAACTCAGCGTGAAGACGCGAATGTCCGTTCGTCATAGGACTAGTGTGATGGATCTTCTTTACAGCTTCATCATCCTGGAAGTATTCAAAATTCGTTTTTACCGACATTATTTATTTCACTCGCCTGCCTCGTTGACCGAGTGGTCGCAATTGCGACTGCCGGGCAAGGGCTTATTTTAATTCTCAGTAGTATTATTATATTCTCAGGAGTCTGGAATTGTGGCCAGTATAAGGCAATAGGCTCACCCCCATTACATGGGACTCATAAGATAAATAATGAAAAGTGGGTGTTACATTGTACAGTGTCATTAAGTGCCGTAATATGCACCCCTGCCTACCCCTTCCGGGATAAAAGGCGTAATGTTATGTTATGTTATTTATTTAAAAATCCGTATGCAAGTTAAAGAGAATCGAATACAGAAGAATGAGCTAAAACTGGTATTCAGTTCTTATATGAACAAACAAACAAGTTTCTACCTTAAAATACGAAGCACATCGTTGAATTTACAATGATAGACCAATAACAACATCTTGAACACATAATTCGACATAACTATTTTAAACCTTACAAAACTAAAGAGAAGGTTGAAAGTACAATAATTGATGTATACCTCAGAGCCGCTGCCTTCATGGTTCTGCTCTTTATTACTTGGCAGTTTGGATGGAGCATCGACCATGAACGCGTGGTTTAAAAGCTGTTCTGCTGACCATTGAGATTGTTCGTCTTCTGTTAAACATCTGTAGAATAATAAAAATAGGAAACATATATTTTGTACTACAATATAAAATATATTATACTTTCCCTAAAGACAATCCATGAACAAAACTTTTTGCGCAAAAATCTTTTTAGCGCAATCAGTTGCGCAAATAAACACTCGTTGCGCATGTCATTTATGATACAATGTTCGAAATTTAGATATAAAGAATAAATTAAATTAAATTATTATGTTTTCGGCTTACTTACATAATAATTTGACGAGGAACTCGACTAGTTTCAAGCCATGCTAGACGTTATGTGAGTAAGCCGAAAACATAATAATTTACTTAGTATGTCTCACGAAAGTTACAATACAAGTATAATAAATTTAATTATTCTAGGCTTAGATCTAACTGAATATTACTTGGCAAAGAAATCCTTGGCAGAACTAGGCTCAGCTATTGTTAGAATTCTATTTTAAAATGTAGTTCTGTTTTTTAGAATAAGTACAAGATCGTATTTTGTGTCTGGTTTGGTAAAAATCCCTACGTAATACAACAGGACCCACGTAATGACTAGCACTTGTATAAAAGTCCTTTTAGCGCAATCAGTTGCGCAAATAAAAACTCGTTGCGCATGCCGTTTATGATACAATGTTCGAAATTTAGATATAAAGAGTAAATTTAATTATTCTAGGCCTAAATCTAGATGTAGATTACCTGGCAAAGAAATCCTTAGCAGAACTAGGCAGGTCGGGCGGTATATCCATGTAGGTTCTTTCTTGTGACACTATTGACAGTAGTAACAGCCCGGTGGCATAAATATCTTGCGCTGCTGTGTGCCTGGAAATTGAGAATCAGACGAAACACTTATTATTTAGTCAGATTTTTTGTATAATTCCAAAAGATTTTTAGTATTTTTATCTAAAAAGATTCAGGTTTATACATACTATAGAAAGTAAAAAGCGGATAACTGACTGACCACATGAGTCATCGAAATTACATTACGGAGATACAAAGCTAGGGCTAATAGTCTTTACACGAAGATGTCATTCACGATTCTTTGTTGATCGAAAATATTTAAATCAAAAAATCTTGATGAAGCGAAGAAAGAACACGATCATACCTTCATCTTACCTGTCACTATACAAATCACTGTCGAGCATCTCAGCGAGTCTCACATCAAGACCAATTCCTACCAACTTGACCCCACCGAAGTCGTCCAGATACACATTTTGACCCCTCACATCTTTATGCACGATCCCAACACTATGCAGCTCCTTTAAAGCCCCTAAGATCCCCAAACCGACATGTCTTAACAGTTTTAACCCTTCATAACAATCACTAAAAACACTGAGTCTACTTTTAACACTTTTTAAAGCACTGCCTAAGACGAATTTTCTGAATAAGTATATGTATTGTTTAGCTGTCCGTTTGTTCGCGTCTTTTATTGTTTCCATAGCTATATATGGTGTTATAGACGGGTGATTCAGTCGGGACATGGCTTTCAGATCTTGTTGTATGGAGGTCAGTTGTCGAGTTCGCGCTTGGAAGTCATTGGCGGGCGGCGCGATCCATTTTTTTGCTATTAATCGCTCCCCTTCGTCGTCTATTGCTAGGTATGTTGTGGCGCCGTTTGAGGAGTGGCCTGTGGAGAAGAAAATAACAGTATGTGATATTCATGTATGTTTTCGGAAGACTGCCTGGTTGGCCGAGTGGTCGCAAGTGCCACTGCCGGGCAAGGGGTCACCGGTTGAATTCGTAATTCAAGCAAAGTATTACTAGGTTTTTAAAAATCTCAATAATAGCACGGAGTCTGGAAATGTGCCCGGTATATGGCAATAGGCTCATCCCCTATTATATAGAATTCATAACATAAATAGTGAAAAGTGGGTGGTACATTGTACAGTGGCATTAAGTGCCGTAATGTGCACCTCTGCCTACCCCTTCGGGGATAAAAAGGTGTGATTTTATGTTATGTGTTTTCGGAAGGAAGGTAAAGCAATCACGTTTTTCTGAGGGCACAAAATAAACAAATGACTATTTAGCGTGAGATGGGTGAGATGAGAGGGAGGGTCAGACTCTGTTTACTAAAAATTCCCTGTTCCTACTCCAGCTCAAAGACAGGGTCGCGCTAACTTATGGCGACTATTTCTATGAAGGTAGAGGACAAAAAGGGCCTAAAACTTAAAGTAACTCTTATTAATCTTGTTTTCCACCAGTGAAACTAATTTTACGGTTTTTGTAGACCCTTCAATTAAAATTAACTTTTTCGGAATCAATTTTAGGCGTATGGTTTCGTTTTATGGAATAGGAGGCCAACGAGCATACGGATCACCTGATGGTAAGCGATCAGCGCCGCCCATGGACACCTGGAACACCAGAAGAGTAGCAGCTGCGTTCCTTCTAAAAAGGAGTACGCTCTTATCTTAAATGTTTGAAGGTCGTATCGGCGCCGACGACAGATCATTCCACAGTTTTGCTGTGCGAGGCAGGAAGCTACGTGAGAAGCGCCCAGTTGGTCAACACGCATCCATGTTAACATTTTAATATATGTACATACCTAAACAGTTTCCGATATAAACCTTTCTATTATTCCTTTGAGTAATTCTAATGACTTGTACGCCTCTGTTCTTGCAGGTGCATGGTATGTCCACCGTTTTAGTTCGAACCGGTTTCTTAACTGGAGACATCTTGTCGTCGGCGTAACTAGAAAATTAATGAGTCATTATTAATACAAATGTAAGAAAGATATACAAGGTGTTGTTTTAAAGCGCGTCATTTTCTAGAAGGTAACTCGGCCATCGATTCTAAGTACGAATCAATAAAAACTGGTAGGTAAATATTTTTCATTTTTCTGTAAATTACAGAAATACGTAAGTGCGAACTACACGCCACGTCTTGTAACTAGCTTTATAACGCGGCTTAACACACACAAACTCAAACACGTAATTGATATTATTCCTAATTCCATAAAACTCCAATAGGAAAAATTGCTGTCGCTTATTCTGAAATACTGTCGAACTTAAACGATTTATTATAGCCGTATTATTAACTATTGGTCCGAAACTTTCGCTTACATTAAACCTTTATGACTTCTGTGACATGCCCCCGAGAAATGACACGATTCCAAAACTACACCTTGTATTATTATGAGTCAATATACTAAATACAAAATGTTTTTATAATAACTATCGTGAGACTTGGTGAATTAACTAAAAATTACGAGTTAGTCACGTAAGTATATTGAGAAAAGTGTATTAGATCCAATAATGTAGGCTACGCGACATCGCCGCGACTCCACGTGCTGCTCACGAGGAAGAGTCCCTATGTGACTTGAAACTAGTAGAGCTTTTCTCAGTACATGAGTAATTTTTAATTTTTAGTTATAATACAGAATCGCTTACTTTGAATTATAGAGAGATTCATATTTTAGGCTGCCTCGTTGGCAGAGTGGTCGCAAATGCGACTGCAAGAGGTCTCGGGTTCGATTCCCGGGTCGGGCAAAGTATTATTGGGTTTTTAAAAAAAATCTCAATAGTAGCACGGAGTCTGGAAATGTGCCCGGCATATGGCAATACGCTCACCCCCTATTACATGGGACTCATAACATAAATAGTAAAAAGTGGGTGTTACTTCTGTGGGCACCTCTGCCTACCCCTTCGGGGATAAAAGGCGTGATGTTATATTTTAGACCAAATTTATTAAAATATTATCATCATCATCATTAATAGCCAAAAGAAGTCCACTGCTGGACAAAGGAATAATATTTAGGTATATTAATATTTAGGTCTTATCAAAATATTATGGGTACCTACTTAATATTTTTTTATTCTGTTCAAATATGACACAGAGATAGAAATAGATTTTTGTTAAAGTAGATTCTGGTGGGTTTCTTTTCAAATTCCAGGGCACGCAAATCTTAATTTCATTTTTTGTCCTACACTAGAATTTTGTCATCTATCGTGGGTGCGTTTACAAACATACAAGTTCACATACACATGACACCCAGACCCGGATCAACAATTTGTGGATCACACAACGAGTTGCTCCGTGCGGGAATTGAACCCAGTGCACGTTGCGCAGTAGCCGGTTGCCTAGGCACTGCGCCAACAGTGCAGTGAATATTTTCTATACCATCAAATTAAAATAAC